GCTTTCTTTTGCGTTTTACCTGACACGTTTGATCGTGAAATATATCTGGGGTGCGTTCATATTACGGGAAATATTTGTAGCTTGTGGCCAAAATGGGACAGCGCCCTGCACTTGACTCGCAATGGCGCATACAGCAGAAGGCGAGGCGCTGTCAGCCGCCCTTTCTAGTGTCCTGTCCACATTTTAGCGCTCCCGAGAGCTCCCCGATCTTGAGCACATCACCTTCGATCGACTACGTCATGGCGATGAAGGCATCGATTGGAATCGCCTCTCGGTCTCTCCATACTGCAAGTATAGAAAAAGAGCGCGACGGGATGGGTGGCGGGAGCAGCTGGGTTCGATGTCGAGAAAACCGATTCCGGTCATCGGTTTCGGATTTGCGGGCCTGCCACGGGAAGAAGCGCTACAAAATTACCAGTGTGGCTAACAATCAGCTCGAACTGACAATTCTCAATCGTTTGACTTTTCGTCAAGTCAAGTTCTCGCCGGGTTAGGTAGTAGTCATCAATCAATCCAGATCAAAGAGGGTCAAGTCGTCAAGTACTTGACGCCACATGGCAAAGAGAGGACTACCCCAGATCGGGAAGTAATCCGCCAATTACATCGCTTCGAACAACCCTTCCCTGCATTTTTACTTTCTTGGCACGCAAGTGTTAAGGAAGTAGCCTATCCATAAGGGATTTTCCGGTGATCTGCCGGATCTGGCGATTCGCCGGATTTTGGGCTCATTGCATTCCAGCAAAGAACTGAGAATAACTTCACGAATACTATTTGAATTGTTCTAAAATCTTATAAGAGCAGTTAATAATGCTCAAAGATGCCACTCAATCTTTTTTGAAGTCATCCAGCCATCGAGGTCGTCTTCTGTTACTCTCCGATCGCGCAAGTCCCCGAAATGCACCCATTGCCTCCCGATCACTATCAACAGCTAAAGAGGGCCTTTGAGGACAGGATATGTCGTTTGAAGTTATCATTGCCTTATTATTTGCGTTATTATATAGTGTGTTTGGTACCTGCAATGCTATGGCCCGCTCTGGTGTGAACGGAAGAGTGACAATTTTTGCAGCGTGAACATCCTGACTCCTCTCGCGACCCTCAGAAGCCACCCGTCGCTCATTCTGCATTTTCTGTGGCTTTTCCACTTTCAAAATCTTCAGCTCTTGTTAATAATGCCAATTTATCTCCTTATTTTGCTTCACGGCCTCCGTCATCCGTCGTTTTCTCCCAATTTCCGCCTCTCATTGCTTCCTCTCTCTAGAGCGAGAGCTTTTGCTCCGCTGCCTTCTGCTGTCGCTGAAGCTGGGCCTCCTTCTTCAGAGCCTCCTTTCTTTGGAGTCCTTTCACTGTCATTTTTGGCGAGCTTGAGCCACAATTTTAGAGCTAAACACCTCGTCTGCACTAGAATCTGTACAGCAGAAGAGATCATCTTTGAAGCTTACCGGTCTGCCTGCGCTGGTTCTTGTGACTACTTGTTCTCTGCATACTTTAACTCTCATATCAAGCACTTTAAACTCATATTGAGGGCTCTGAGGGTGCTGCTCAGCCTTCGGCTGTTGCGGCCAGCATCAACAGAGGACTCTCGACTACTTCCTGAAATGCGTTCCAAAACACAGTCTAGATCTTCGATTTCAGCAATCCAATGAACCTTTTGATTTGTCTGTGTACTGATAAGATCATGCGTATACGCTGTTGAGAGAGGCTGAATAACGATACATCAAGGGTTGCAGCCGATGAATGGATTGAGGGGAAACACCACAACGATCACTCGGTGCCGGTCACACCACTCCATAAATCGATACTAAAATGGTTAAGGGCCATCGGGAACCAAAAGGCGATAAGCACAACCGTTTCGAGCTTTCACCCTGGTAAACCGGTCGAACGTACCGGTGAGCTGCTCATTTCCAATATTGTGATTCGTCCACCTCGTTTTTGACGTGTTAAAAATATTTATTGACGACTTGATTCACGTTTCACGAACCAAAAGTCCAGAGTTTGTGCTGGCTTGTCTTGGTGGATGAGAAATGGGGCAGCGATGCCATCTCTGACTGACGCACATCTTGAACGTAAGGGAGGATGGGTTGCCATTTTTTAATACGCCGAGCAATTTTGCCTTGTTTTCTTATAATAAGAGGAATACCCTGTTCGTTCAAATGCTCATAAGGAATAGAAAGCCCATTTCATCCATGTTATACGTGTTTTAGGGTAGGGTGTCGAATTTCTCAATTTTCGTGCACGTCTTTCCTTGTCAGGTGTGAAAGCGGAGCCTCGCGCACTGAATTTCAAGCTAAAAATAAACCTTACATTCAGATGCATAGATAGGTTCTTTTCAGAAGATGCTTGTACCGTCGAATCACGTTCAATCTGGCTCATTACGGGTGCGTAGAATGAAGTTATCCAGCTCGCCCTTCCAACCCCTATTTTTGCAGTATCCTGAGCCAAGTTCTGCACTATGGATAGAATGGGGAGAATCCTACATGATTAAAGCCTACGATGAAAGCCAATAATGTTCTGTTTTGCTGTATTGGCTGAAATGACTTACACAATCTGTCGGCATCCTATTTTGGCCGTTGCTTGGTTTGATGTCAGCACCGCAGCGCATTGCCCCAGATAAAAGTTCTAAATATATGCCAGACTTTCACTGCTTCTGATGATTCAGGAAATCAAAGGATACGTCAATTGGCACCGTTGTTGTTGAGCTATTGTCGATTGATGTTGAGCGTGCGAAGTCGCCGCAATCCGGCAGATCACCAGATCCGGCAGATCATCGGAAAATCCTTACAGCTTTTCGCTTAACAGTGCTCTTGAAAATTCCGCAACAGCGCCGCGCAAAGCGCCGGCAGCGGCCATGGCACCAGCCTCAGGTTCGCGCGCCGCTCCTGTGCTGTCGACATACAATCGCCACCTGATCTAGCAGCCCGTGCATCTCAGCACCTACTGTCCTCTCCGGCGGAGGCTCGCCCAAATGTCTCAACCCTGGCGGCTCAGCAGCTCCTCGACCGACGTCTCCCAGCGACACGCCCAACGCTGCCGTCGCGGAAGGAACGCAGCCGGAAATAATCCCGAATGGCCCTGGTTCGACCGGGTCCACGGAAAATGCACCTGTCTCCATCATCGAAGCGGCTACAAAGATCGCTCGCGACCAAACGGCAGCCCATGATGCCAAGCTGGCAGTCGGGCCTTTAGCGAATCATTCGAACAGACAGCCAAACAATTCGTCCGGCTCCTACAATAGCATCGCAAAGCAAGTTGCCACCAAGTTTCTGAACCTCTGGACTCAATCGCTCGCCGACCTTGAGGAACCACCGAAACCTACGTACAGCAGCGTTCTCGCATCCGGCAAAACGACACAAGGACAGCTGGCCATTACGGCCTCCGCCCCACCACAGCGAAAACAGCAAACCACCACTCGTCTCCAAGGACGACCGCCCGTGGTCCCACCAAGGAAGACCTGCGTGTCTTTGTCCGACTTGACGCCGATGCTCCGGCCCGAAACCATGAAAGATACGCTATCCGGGCCCACATCGCCGCTAGAGTCGGCATCGACCTACGCCGCATCCCGGCAGCCTTCCCGGTAAACACGGGTTGGGCCATCCTGGCATCGGATGTGGCCACGCGCGAACTACTCGTGCAGCGACAGGCGGATTGGGCCGTAGATCTGGACGCGACGGCCGTAGAGATTAGCCAGAAATGGCATTCGTATGCCGTAGCCGATTGCCCCCGTAGGCTCACGGACCTACGCGGCGTTGAGATCAACTTCGATGAGGCGGTCAAAGAAGAAATTGCCTGCCAAACCGGACTGAAGCCCATCAGCATACGGACCTCGCGACACGACTCGGGCGATATGCCTACCAAGACCCTTATTGTATCCTTCCTGGAACCCACGCAGAGACCCTGGCGACTGTTCGGCGCCAGCCGGTTCGCCCGCTATATCGACAAGCCCAGCATTCCTAGCCAATGTGACAAGTGCTGGGATTTCCACGCTCGACACAGCTGCGATCGAACGGCGCGCTGCAGGCGTTGTGGCAAACCGCCCATCGAACCCAAGAATGCCCCGCCTTCGAGCAGTGGCCAACCTGCCTGGACCCCATTGCGCGGATGACCCCAAATGCCCTGCCCGCCCCAAGCGCGTTCACGGCATGGTCCGGCGCCTGACGAAGGAGGAGAAGAGCCTGGTACGGCAGATGGGAGTTCAGCCTCTGCGCAGCAGAAGCGGCAGACTCCAAAGGCCAGAGTGTCCGACCAGTCTGATCAGAGCCCTGGCAGGCCGCAGATACTCCTTGAGTCAACGGCGCCGCGGGCAGCTGGAGGAGATGGAAGCTCCGACATGGGCGCCATTTACGAGCCAGCCGCGCCGTCAACCCCATGCATCGTTGTGGCCACAACGCCGCCGCATGTAAGGACGGCGACCAGTTCCTCCCTGTCGTCCCATCGAAGAAACGACGCACTAGTCCTGTGACGCTACCCTAATGCCTCGCTGTTTTCCACGCAATCGAAGCGATAGGAGGATCTTGCGAATCTTCCAAGCCAACGTAGGCAAGATTCCGCCGGCACACGATTGTGCCCTTGCGTTGGCCGACTCGGAACAATACGACATTATTTTGTTGCAGGAGCCATGGACAGGACTGAAAGATGGCCGATGCCTCACTAAGACGCATCAGGCCTACGACACCTTCTCACCCGTCAACGACTGGGACGGCCGCGACACTCGCCCGAGAGTCATGACATACGTCCGGCGTTCCGCAGGTCTCGTCGCTGATCAAAAGAGACCTGCGGCGACTCGTGACATCCTTTGGCTCACCGTCAACGGCATAACAGTCGTCAACTTCTATCGGCAGCCGTACCACGACGGAGCCCTTGAAATCTTGCTTCAGTGGACCGTACCGGACAAGTGTCTTGTTGCTGGTGATTTCAATGCCAAACATCCCAGCTGGCAGGCCGGTCGACGAGAGGACCGCGGCGAAGAAATAGCGTTTTGGGCAATGGACAATCGACTCGGCTTACTGAATCCTGTCGATGTCCCGACCAACGCACACGGCAATACGGTTGATCTCGCCTTCTGCAACATACCTCTGGCCGACGCTGTTGTCGAGGATCATCTAGCAACCGGCTCCGATCATTTTACCCTTAGTATCACGCTGCCAGGACAAGTTCTGGCACCCCTTCCAATAGGAAAGATCCATCTCAACTCCGACGAGGAATTGAAGCGATTCATTGAATTAGTGGAGGCCGGTGCCGCCTTCATCCCGATCACCACGGCATCTCCTTCCGAGCTCGACAGCTTTGCGTCGGCGCTCGTGAACCTTCTTGGTTGTGCAGCCAGAGCTGCCGGTCGACCTGCCCGTAAGACTACGCATGGTGCGCGGTGGTGGACTGAAGAATGCGCAAAGGCGGCGGCCAATTACCGCGCGTGGAGGAGAGTTCACTCTCGGCTTCGACCGAGAAGTACAGCTAGCCAAGAGGAGCTCCATAGCGTGGTGCGCCGGGCCAAGCGCCTTTACTGGCGTAACGATTGACAGCTTCACCGATAGCGCCTCCGTCTTCAGGGCGGTCCGCTGGCTGAAGTCTCCAGGTCCGTTTCAAGCTCCTCCTGCAAATTGACGACCGAGTGTATGAGACGCAGCTGAAAAGGCCACCGCCTTGCGACAAGCCACTCTGGAACGGCGCACGGCGAACGACGACATCCCAGATCCGTGGATCTCCGTGAACACAGATAGGACGATACCCTTCACCGACCGAGTCTCTCCGGAGAGACCCGCGACGCCACGCTACGCACCGGGAATACGTCCCTGGTCCCGACAATATTACGGTGCGGATGCTCCGCGCTGTCTGGCATGCGATCGGAAGTCTCGTCCACCAGCTATATCAAGGCTGCCTCAGGATTGGCCACCATCCGAAGCCCTTCCGAGAAGCAGAAGTGGTCATGATTGCCAAGCCGGGGCGCAGGGATCTCTCTACACCCCGCGCTTGGCGCCCCATCTCCCTTTGTCCTGTCTCGGCAAGGGCCTCGAGCGGCTCATCGCACGGCGTCTAGCGTGGGCCTCGGTCCATTTCGGCGTACTACACCCACAACAAGCCGGCGCGCTCCCGAAGAGATCGGCCGTGGATCTCGTTGCTGCCTTGATTCATGACATCGAGGAGGCATTTGCCTGCAAGCAGGTTGCAACATTGGTGACTTTGGACATTCAGGGCGCCTTCGACACAGTCCTCCGCAACAGATTGATCCTTCGCCTACGGGAGCAAGGGTGGCCACCGAACCTCGCGCGATGGGTCGGCTCGTTTATGCAAGACAGGTCGGCACGCATCCGCTATCAAGATATCGCAACGAATTCATCGCCTCTCCAGTGCGGGCTGCCACAGGATCGCCAGTCTCGCCGATCCTCTTCCTACTGTATACGGAACCAATCTACCGCTTGGGCAGCTCAAAGGGCGTTTCGGCTATGCGGACGACACTGCCATCCTTTGCGTCGGCGATAGCCTGGATGAGACGTCCGCCGAAGCATCTCATCATGTGCGTGAGCTTGTATCGTGGGCGCCGCCAACGGATCTCCTTCGACCCTGAGAAGACAGAAGTGATGCACTTCTCTCGAACGACGCCCAAGACGGCGCCGCCAGTGCTCCATGGCGAATTTGAGAAACGGCCGGGCCGGGCGATGCGTTGGCTCGGCGTCTGGCTCGACAGCACTCTGTCTTTCAAGACTCATGTCGAGAAATGGACGGCCAAAGCGCAAGCAGTCGCCTTCCATCTCAGGAGACTGACAAACACCAGGCATGGTCCTCTACCGAGCGCTGTGCGACGAGCGGTCTGCGCTTGCGTCATTCCAGTGCTGCTCTACGCGGCGGAGGTCTGGTATCCTGGTTCTACGCGCCCGCGCTGGACCAAGCCGGGCAAGGAAGGACCGTCCAGGATCGGACACCTCGTAAAGAAGATGAGCAAGGCACTCTACACATCTCTTCGGGCTATCCTGCCAGTGTGGAGAACTACACCAACGAATGTTCTGCACCGGGAGGCAGGGATACCGCCGGTCCTCTGCTGCTCGAGGCGCGCCGGACTGCATTTGCTGCGCGTCTCAAATCCCTGGACGAAGCTCATCCGCTCGTGAAGCGCACGTCGAGGCCAAAAGCCCTATACTGAATGAAATGATCAAGCTGAAGTACCAAAAGCAGCCAAAACCCTTCCGGACTAGGCTGCGGCGCTCCGACGAATTGCTACCAAGCTGCCCAAGGCCTGCCTTGCTGCAGCGCGGATTTGTCGAAGAGCAGACTGCGCCTCTGCAGAGTGCATCGAAAAATGAGACGGCGAAGAAATTTCGCGATTGGCTCCAGGCACTATCGCCCCGAACTCTGGTCGTCTATTCCGACGGGTCCCGTTCTACCGAAGGCCACGCCGGATATGGCTATGTTGTTCATCGGGACGGATCCACCGTCTTGCGCGACAAGGGCCGTCTCGGGCCCGCCGAGATTTTCGACGCTGAGGCGAAAGGTGCGTTGGAGGGGTTGAAGGCTGCGGTGAGCCTTCCAGAAACTGACCGCATCTTTGTCTGCCTCGACAACCTCGCGACCGCAACATGCTTACTGGCACGCCGAGCGACTCCTCGCAAGAGGTCTTCCTTGAGTTTCAATCTTTGGCGCGAAAATACGGAGCTGTGGAGGTCCATTGGATCCCCGGCCATGCTGACATCCCAGGCAACGAGGAGGCTGATGCTCTGGCAAAGGCGGAGCATCACTGCCAGAACCCGCTGATAACGTCCCGACGCTAGCGCACCTGCGAAAGATTGCCCGACAGCAGCCGGAAGAGGCTTTCAAGGCCTGGTGGGAAGCCTCTGCGCCGGAGCGATACAGAGACCTGAGGCTTAAAGCCACAACCAGCTGCCCGTCAGAATTGGCGCTCTCTCGGCCCCTGCTTCGTAACTTGCTTGCAGCAAGAACCCACCATGGGGATTTTGCTGACTACCACGAAAGGTTTGGTCACGACAATGCGCGACTGACGTGCTCGTGCGGAAGACGAAAGAGCCAGCACACATCTTTACTGCAGAAAGGTTGCGCCACGGCATCGTATGCGGCTTGCACCTTGGCCGGCTGCAGCCATCAACCGCGCAATCGGCAAGGACTTTGACAAATTCGTCAGGCTGGCGAAAGCGAGCTCCTTCTTCGGAGGGATCTGCCCACGCCACTAGACGGTCATCATTCTCCTCTCACCCTACCTTTCCTCTCAATCCTTTCTGTTACCTGCTCCGATCTCGGGCGGCGTCAAGGTCTCGCGACCATGCGATCGCCGAGGTCATCAAGGGCTGCAATGACCGTCAGAAGCAAATTGGCTGATCTGACCACGGGACAGCTTTCTCTTCATGCCTGGACGTCCCGCTGACGGGCAACAGGTTTGTCATGAGCGCCGTTGAGCCGATGAAATGCTGGATAGTGGGTGAAGTGTACGATATGTAGCATGTAGACACCTGCTAGCTCAGCACGTCCTGTGCTCCCTCGCAGAGACCTGAGCGACCAAAAGTTGCTGGACGGAAAATACACTAAACTAAACTAAACTAAACTAAATTATATCGCTTCGAATCGTGGGATTCGCCCTCAAATATTGTGGGGCCGAAAGTGGTTGCTTAGCGCGCATTAGGCGTAAGTGGGCCCGCGCGGGGGCCCCCAAACCGTCCCAACACAAGCGAAAATGAACCCCACTCTTATCACACCAAACAGCCATCAACAACGCGTCAATTCGACGCGTGATAACGTTGCCACACGCGTTCCGGGGGGCCCAAGTCGGTCATTCAGCACTCCAAGCTCCAAAAATTTTGCGGGATTTCTGCACCGCGAGTGCCTGTACCAATTACCGGATTAGGCATAGTACATCAAGTACTTGACAAGTTGTCAATCAAGCTCATTGACTGGTCAAGTCAAGTTTCAATCGAGTTGGACATACCTTCAATCAATCAAGTTCGATGGTCGAAATTGAACTCGATTGATTGTTAGCCACACTGACAAGGGGTATGGGCGGATTAAACCGGAGAATATCGTGAATGTCGCCGAGGGCGGTATGATGTTGGCTTTGGTGAGCGTTTGACTTGCCGTTCATTATTCCAACTAACCAGCGTCTTTTCTCCAGGTTTGGAAAGTCTTGTGGTTTGCAGTACAGACCCAAAACGGAAGGCCCTGCTGAAGGGACCACAGTCCCGCAACTAGACCTCATTTATCGAAGCCATCACTGCGGATGGCCGTGCCTTACTCCTGGTATCATTTTCAAGGGCAAAGAACTCCAGAAAGAGTGGTTCGTGACGGAATTCGGCAAAATTGCCGACCGGAATTACATTACCTCGCCGAACGGATGGATGGACCACCTGTCGCTATTGAGTGGCTTGAGAGAGTCTATTTGCCTGAGACGCAGCCTGCCGATGAGTCGGTGCTAGGCTGATCATATTAAATGGACATGAAAGCCATGAAACGGTGCGTTTCCGTATTTATCTCCCTAGAAATCACTATTAACCGGGACCAGGATGCATGGATGGCCACGTGCGTTTTGAACAACGTCTACTGCTGTTACCTTCCTTCCCACTGCTCTCATGGCCTTCAGCCATTGAATAACGGTGTTTTAAAGGCTTTCAAAGCGGCGCATCGGAAATAACTTCAGAATTTAACTTGTCTGACGGATTCTGCCCCCGTTGATAAGGTCAAGTTTATATGCGCCCATGCCAAAGCACGTGAGGTCGGAATGACAGCAAAGAATATGTTGTCCAGCTGGAGGGTCACTGGAAATTGGCCAATCTCACGATCCGAGGCATTCCGGCATGCAGATATTCACGCAGATCCGGTAGAGACATCTACAAATTCTGCGCCGCTTTTGGCTCCTGATGATACACCCAAGAACCAGCCGCCAGATTCGCGATTTCGAAAAGAACAAGGCTCCTAGCACTCGGATGAGTTACGCTGTGATCACTAGAGGCTCTGAAGCCCAAGAACAAACGGTTGCTGAGCACAGCAACAGAATTGCGAAGCTGGAGGCAGAAGTGGCCCGGCTGCAGAGAAGCAAGAAGAGGAGAGCGAATCAGAACGCGAACAGACGTTTCATGACTCTTAGTGAAGCTTTTGTGGCCCAGGAAGCCATTCCCCAAAGTAGAAGTCAAGAGATGCCCGTTGTGCCGAATTCTGCGATCGAGGAGGAGGTGGTCTCGGAGGTGGAGTCAGCTTCAGTGATGGAAGTCAGGACGGCACCTGAGGCCCTTTTTGTCACCACCAGATCCGGGAGAGTGGTAAAAGCGCGGTGCAGATAGGAGCGTCCATTTATCTACGGAATGATATATTTTTGGTGTTTATAATCTCGAGTTCTGGTCATATTTCATGTAGTTCAAATGGTAGACTTTGGTGGAGTTTTTTCAATTGCGCTACCGAAAGGTGGGTGTTACCGAAAGGGGTGGGGCATGGTAAGTGTAAGTGCGTCCACAACGCCGATTCGACAACTACGTGACAACCCTCACGATGACAAGCACGACCCCAACCCCGAACCCCGCCTCTACGA